ATTTTTTTCCCGACCCTTTCCCTAAAACTACAGTAACTCCACTTTTATTAAATTATCTTTTCCCGGACTATCAGTGCACTCCCCCACTATTCCACCATCCTGGCTTCACCGAGAGGATAGTCTTTCTTAAATAAATCTTTTTTAAAAATAATTATTTTATAGAAATACAGCTTCATTATTAATCGTTTGTCTATTCATGTAATAAGTCCAAATTCTTCAACAACTGACTGATTTTTGGTCATTGACTATAATACAAAGGATATTAATCATGAATTTTCAAATTTCTACATCTGAAAAATCTTAACACTGGGTGTCAAACTAGTAGAATTGCCACCTGAAAAACTTAAAAATGAGGTTTTGATTATTCGATTGAAATAATACTTAATGACTAACTTTTACTAAATTCTTTTCCATCAGAAAAGCAATCCCTGTCTTCCTCTGCTCTACACACTACTCTAAATGGTTGATTACATATTACATGTCCAATATTAACCATTCACAGACATGCTTGTTTAACTGTTGTCTTTTGTTTTCTCTGTATGTCAATTTTTAGAATTACTTACTTTGATTCATTCATCTATCTCCATTTTATACCCTGTTTTCCCATAATTTCTTTATCCAGTCTACCGTTGATGGGCATTTAGGTTGGTTCCAGGTCTTAGCTATTGTGAATTGAGCTGCAATAAACATTAGGGTGCAGACCGCTTTTTTGTTTGTCAATTTAAATTCCTTTGGGTAAATTCCAAGGAGTGAGATGGCTGTATACCCCGTTTTCCAATAACTGCTTTATAATAATTGGGATTCTACAGGGATGTGAAGTTATAAAGTTTTTACTAACGAAATCAATATTTAACCATTTTAAGTTTAAATAGTTATCACACGTATATTCTAAAGATACTGGCTTTAAATCTTTCAATAAATATACTACTTTTAATGAATATATTTTAAATTTTAAAAATTTTCAGAAAGAATGAAATTGTGCAACAAACTGGATGCAACTGGAAATCATTATGCTTAGAGAAATAAGCCAGTTTCAAAAAGATGACTACAGTGTGGTGTAGCGAGCTAGGCCTCTGCCTGAGTCGCTGGCATCCTATGTGGCCATCAGTTCACATTCCAGTGGCTTCTCTTCTGATGCAGCTTTCTGCGGCCTGGCAGGGCAGCAGAGGATGGCCCGCATTCTTGGACCCCTTAACCCACATGGGAGACCTAGAGGAGGCTCCTCTATCCTGGCTTTGGATCAGCTCAGCTCTGGGCATTGCACCCATTTTGGAAGTGAACCAGCAAATGAAAAACATTTCTCTCTGTCTCTCACTCTATCTGTCTATAACTCCATTCTCAAATAAATAAAATCTTTTTTAAAAAGACAAATATCATATTTTTTCTGATATTTGGTGTTAATATAGAACACAAAAATAGTATATGGATGAAATTGGCATTTTGGGATATGATTGTCAATTTTAGCCCTTGTTTATACTCCTATGTAATTGTGGTCTTCCTACTTTTTATTTGCTGAATATTTTTTAAAGATTTTTCTATCTATTTAACAGGTAGAGTTACAGACACAGAGAAAGAGAGACAGAGAGAAAAGTCTTCCTTCCATTGGTTCACTCCCCAAATGGTTGCTACAGCCAGCGCTGTGCCGATCCAAAGCCAGGAGCCAGGTACTTCCTCCTGGTCTCCCAAGCGGCGCAGGCACCCAAGCACTTGGGCCATCCTCCACTGCCTTCCCAGGCCATAACAGAGAGCTGGACTGGAAGAGGAGCAACCAGGACTAGAACCTGGCGCCCATATGGGATGCCGGTGCCACAGGCAGAAGCTTAACCTAGTGTGCCACCACACCAGCCCCTATTTGTTGAATATTGTAACTAGTGGTGAATTAAACCTGTGAATATAGAGTGGATTACAATTATGTCTTTGTAAAAACTGATGAAGAGAGGGGACAGAGATGGGGGATTTGGGAGGAATAGGGAAGTGAGGAAAGTGTGGTTGTGTTCTGGAACTGTATCTGTGGAAGGCATGAAATCTGTTCTCCTTATATTGATATAAAAATTTTTAACTAGATTAACAAAATATTTTATAGTAATTTTATTGATGTATTAAAATCCTTAAATGAGTTTATACAGAGATGGTTTTCCTGCAACGCACAAATATCTTCAGAACTCATTTTCAAGACTTGAATAAACATCATAAAATTATTTTCCACTTTTATTTAATAAATATTCTTCATCAGGATTCATTTTTCTGGGATGGGAGAGGGACTGGCAGATGGGATGATTGCAGGTGGGAGGGTAGTTATGGGAGGAAAAAGCCACTATAATCCAAAAGTTGTACTTTGGAAATTTATATTTATTAAATAAAAGTTAAAAAAAGATTCATTTTCAATTCTCTTTATATACAGAAGATAAACTTAGTATATACTAAGTAAAGATTTCAACAGTTTGCACCCACACAGACACACAAAGTACAAAGTACTGTTTGAGTACTAGTTTTACCATTAATTTGCATAGTACAACACTTTAAGGACAGAGATACTACATGGGGAGTAGGTCCACAGTGACTCCCGTTGTTGATTTAACAACTGACACTCTTAATTATGACATCAGTAATCACCTGAGGCTCTTGTCATGAGCTGCCAGGGCTGTGGAAGCCTCTTGAGTTCACAAACCCTGATCTTATTTAGGCAAGGCCATAGTCAAAGTGGAAGTTCTCTCCTCCCTTCAGAGAAAGGTACTTCTTTCTTTGATGGCCCGTTCTTTCCCCTGAGATCTCACTTACGGAGATCCTTCATTTAGGTCATTTTTTTGCCACAGTGTCTTGGCTTTCCATGCCTGAAATACTTTTATGGGCTTTTCAGCCAGATCCGAATGGCTTTAGGGCTTATTCTGAGGCCAGAGTGCTGTTTAGGACATCTGCCATTCTATGAGTATGCTGTGTATCCCACTTCCTAAAACATCATAAATGTGAAATGATAACCTTAAGTGATCAGGTATTTTCATGTAAATATAGGATAAGTCTGGGATCCAGGAGATTGAAAACATATACCAGAAATATTTTCCTTTTTACTTTAAAAAAAAGAGTACCATATAAAACTTTTTAGAACAAGAAAAAGAAACACACAGAAATGACACTTAAAAGATCACTTCATCTCTGATGGCCCTTTTGTCATTTGGCATCCTCAAACCCTATAAAGGGTTTAAAATAGTAATTCTAAATTGTGATGTCATAATTCCTAAAGTTCATAAGTTCAGAGAACCAAAGGATCAAATAATATTAAGTACTACTTGTCATTTTCACTCTCATTACCTTGTAAATGTGCAGTAGAGTTTTTTGGAGATATGATGTGTCATAATACCATTAGTTTTAATGGATGATCAGATCTAATAGCAAATGCCCTAATGGTTATTGGAATGTATGAATGCACACATTTGTACTTAATTCTTGTCCATTTTAATTTCTAACAGAATATATATAAACACAAGAGCCCACCTAAATAAAAGTTATTTGCAAACTTCAATAATTTTAATAGTATAAAAGGACCCTAAGGCCAAATGTTTTAGAATCACAGTTTTAAAAGGCTAAGTCTTTCTGAACGGGGCCATCAAAGAGGGAGGTACCTTTCTCTGAAGGGTGGAGAGAACTTCCACTTTGACTATGACCCTGTCAGAATAAGATCGAAGTCAGTGAACTCAAAGGCTTCCCTAGCCTTGGCAGCTCACGACTAGAGCCTAGGGAGATTACTGACGCCATAAACAAGAGTGTCAAATTGTTAAGTCAACAACAGGAGTCACTGTGTACTTACTTCTCATGTGGGATCTGTCCTTAATGTGTTGTCCAATATGAAGTAATGCTATAACTAGTACTGAAACAGTATTTTACACTTCGTGTTTCTGTGTGGGTGCAAACTGATGAAATCTTTACTTAATATATACTAAATCAATCTTCTGTATATAAAGAGAATTGAAAATGAATCTTGATGTGAATGGAATGGGAGAGGGAGCGGGAGATGAGAGGGGTGCGAGTGGGAGGGAAATTATGGGGGGGAAGCCATTGTAATCCATAAACCGTACTTTGGAAATTCATATTTACTAAATAAAAAAAAGTGAAAAAAAAATCTCACATGATGCTCACAAACATCCCTACCCACAGCAAAAATAAATAAATAAATAAATAAACAAACAAAAAAAAGACTAAGTCTTTCTGACTTATCATTCTGAGGAGTGATAAAGTATTTTCCTGAAATCAAAGATAAACACACAGAGTACGTTAATTAGCACATCAGATTGGTTCAAGATCTATGTAACACCGAGAGGAAATAATTAAAGCTAAGACACAATTAACATGATGGTAAATAATGCTTTATTCTAGGTAAAGATCAGAATTTTATAGCACTTTAAAACATTAAAAATCTTATCTGAGAACAAAAAGTACCATGAATTATAAATATACATAAACACTTAAAACTTCATTCATTAAAAATTCAATTAATAAAAGTAACAGCAAGAAATAATTTCAAAGGGTTTAAGCAGCTTCAGCAGGAATAAAGTGGTCATACTGAAGAAATGTGGCAAAATAAAACACCATAAATAAATGTAATATTGGGGTTGGCTCCATGGCCTAGCAGGTAAAGCCACCACCTGCAGTGCCGGCATCCCATATGGTACCAATTCAAGTCAGCTGCTCCACTCCCGATCCAGCTATCTACTATGGCCTGGGAAAGTACAGGAGGATGACCCAAGTCCTTGGACCCCTACATCCACATGGGAGGCCCAGAGAAAACTCCTGGTTCCTGACTTCAGATCAGATCAGTTCATCTCTGGCCATTGCAGCCATTTGGGCAGTGAACCAGCAGATGAACGTGTGTGTGTGTGTGTGTGTGTGTGTGTGTCTGCCTTTTAAATAAAATAAATGAATCTTTTTTAAAAAGTTAATGTGTATCTTCACCGTTTACTTCATATAATAGCTCTTAAACAGAAAGATTGTGATCAATATCCACTTACCACATTTATTAGCTTTGTGGAATTCTTGTGTGTTCATACAAATTACTCTGTCTTGCTCTTCTGGCACATTTTGAGAGACAGAAATATCATTTTCACTGCTTAAACCTGCTGACAGGTATTTCTATAGAGGAAAAAAAAAACAGAACTTAAGCAAACATATTCATTCAGTTGCTCCTCCACTCACTCACTAAAACATTTATTGTGTCAGTACAATCATACATACCATTCTAGGAAGAGAGAAAATGTCTACAGAAGGCAGATTCTACAATACATTCAAGTGGGGATAGACATAATATATGAATCTAAATTCAAAGCAAGAAAATTAACTTCATAATAGAGCATTTTACCTTGGCAAGTAAATATAAGTCTTCCATATCATCATGAACAGTTTTCCTGCAAAGCCTTTAGATCAAAAATAAATAACAAAAATTGGTAAATTCTTTCCATGAAAAAAAATCTGGTGATAAGTCAGCTATCCATAAATTAAATGGTGATTTTCAACATAATAAAAATTTCACTTTTGCTTTAGAAAAATTTTCCATTCCTATTTCTGCCTCTACCTCTCAGTCTAATGAAATATTTAATGAAGACAATTCATTCTGTAACAAAATGTGACTGCCAATACATGGGCAGAGCCTGAGAATAATTGATCTTCATAACTTATCCAACCTGAAGGATCAGCTGAAAATCCAATCAATGGCTGACATAAGTTTTATTATCCAAATACAGTAAACATGGAAACCTATAATAGGGTATAAAGATACATGGTCCCTCTTCCATTACCTATCCTGTTTATAAAAATAAGATGTATAAGGCCGGCACTGCGGCTCACTTGGTTAATCCTCCGCCTGCGGCGCCGGCATACCGGGTTCTAGTCCCAGTCGGGGCGCTGGATTCTGTCCCGGTTGCTCCTCTTCCAGTCCAGCTCTCTGCTGTGGCCTGGGAAGGCAGTGGAGGATGACCCAAGTGCTTGGGCCCTGCACCCGCATGGGAGACCAGGAGAAGCACCTGGCTCCTGGCTTTGGATCAGCGCGATGAGCCAGCCGCAGCGCACCAGCCGCGGTGGCCATTGGAGGGTGTACCAACGGCAAAAAGGAAGACTTTTCTGTCTCTCTCTCTCTCTCTCTCTCTCTCACTGTCTAAATCTGCCTGTTTAAAAAAATATAAAAATAAAAAAGAAATAAGATGTATAATGTAAAAAAAGTAATCTTGATAATTTACCATGAAAATCACTAATTAAGAAGGTTCCATTGCATCCCATTACCCTAAAACAACACAAAGAATCCTTGAAAACATCTCAAATGTTTGTTAATGTTTGTGGCATGGCAGGTTAAGCTGCCACCTTGAATGCAGACATCCCATAGAAGTACCAGTTCAGTTCCCAGCTGCTCTCCTTCTGGTCCAGCTCCCTGCTAGTGTTCTTGGGAAAGCAGCGGAGGACAGTCCAGGTGCGTGGGCCCCTGAGCCCAAATGGGAGACCAGGATGAGACTACTGGCTCCTAGCTTTGGCCTGGCCCAGCCTTGGCCATTGCAGCCATTTGTGGAGTAGGCCAGCAGATAGAAGATTCTCTCTCTCACTCACTCTCACTCTCTCTCTCTCTCTCTCTCCTCTCTTCTTTCTGTCTCTCTCTTTCTCCTGTGGTTCTGCCTTTCAAATAAATAAATAAATCTTTTTAAAATTATTAAATCGAATGATTTACCCAATATTAATTATTGCCTCATTCAGTTACACATAAACAAGCACACAGTTAAAAACATTCGTAAGTACTCAGATACTCCACAAGCCGAGCCGGGTGGGCACTGACTGGAGCTGCTAGTCAGGGCTGTGGTCATTTTTATACCTTCCTGCGTGGATGCAGGCATCACCAACGGAAAGGAGGGCAGGCAGGTGGGGTGGTGCGTGGCTAGGTCGCACAAGGTCTCGCTGCCATGAAGGTGAAGATCAAGTGCTGGAACGGCATGGCCACCTGGCTTTGGGTGGCCAACGACAAGAACTGCGGCATCTGCCGGATGGCATTAAATGGCTGCGGCCCCGACTGCAAGATGCCGGGAGACAACTGCCTGCTAGTCTGGGGCCAGTGCTCTCACTGCTTCCACATGCACTGCATCCTCAAGTGGCTCAACACACAGCAGGTGCAGCAGCACTGCCCCATGCGCCGGCAGGAGTGGAAGTTCAAGGAGTGAGCCCGCCCTCAGCACACCCAGGACTGCCCAGCATAATGCTGAAGTTTTAACTAATAAGTAAAATTCATTAAACTCTCAAAAAAAAAAGTATTCAGATACTCAAAGAGAGACACTACTGAGAAAAGAATCATGGTACTAGTACCTCTATTTATATCAGTACCATCAGTATATCTTGCTTCCAATGGGCCCACCACCCTAGCTATCTCTTCTACAGGGCACAATGTCAATAATGAGATTTGGATAATAGTTTGGATATCAACAAAAGGTCCATATATTTGCGGCTTAGTCCCAAAATATGTTTTGGTTAATGGATTAATGTTAATGGCCAATGGATCAAGGATGAAAACAGAACAATTATGATATCAAGCATGTGCACCTAGTGGGAGGAAAGTATGTCTTTGAGGGCTTATCCTCTGAAGGTAGTTCTCCTGAGGGTTGAACAGTGTTACCTCTCTGCTTACTGGCTCACCATGCCATCCTCCCCCTGCACACATCCACACCCTCCATACTCATCAGATGCTGGACTAATGGTGCCTCCTGGCCTTGGACTGTAAACCTCAAAACTATAAGCCAAAACAAACCCTCTTCCTGTGTATTTTAGCCCCACTCGGGTATTTTAGTTAAACTGACACAAAGATGACAAACATAGGCATCTTAAATATTTACATCTTAAGCCTGTAAGACACAGAATCCTGAGACGAAGATGGATTATAAAAACAATTATATAACTGTAGTCACTCTCTATTTCATTCCTCTAAAACACAAGTTAAATTGAATCCTAGACATCCACCTCCAATAAAGACACATGACCAGCAAAGCACTGCAGTTCCATAACTCCATAAAATAACTGATGTGCCAACCAATATTATGCCTGCCCCCTCCTACAGCTATACGGGAGGGACATTAGAAAATTGAGAGCAGAGGTGGAGGTAAGAGGACACCTCACCTGCCCTGAGCTATAGTTCTGTTTCCAGTAACCTCCAGTCCCCCAGTGCTCAAGGAGTACTAGGCTGCCCTCTTTCCGTCTGGAAAGAGACGATACCACATTATAACCTTATCTGCTATAAAAACTCCTTACAGTAACTCAAATTATTCTAACATTTTTCAATTAAAAAATTTGTTTGTCCATTACTCCAGTTAAACAAACCAAAAAGCATAAACTTCATAACAAACTTCAATTTCCTAGTTAATATGCTATTCTAGATAGCTCCCTACATCTTATATCCTAATTCCTATAATTTGTCTTTTATCAATCCTGTTATAAACAACCTAAGCACTCCACCAAAAAAGTGTGAGAACTAATAGACCAATTCAGTAAAGTCCCAGGGTACAAAATCAACATTAAAAAGTAGAATTTAATATACCAATAATTGGGGCCGGCACTGTGGCACAGCGGGTTAAAGCCCTGGCCTGAAGTGCAGGCATCCTATGTAGGCGCCAGTTCTAGTCCTAGCTGCTCCACTTCTGATCCAGCTCTCTGCTCTAGCCTGGGAAAGCAATAGAAGATGGCCCAAGTGTTTGGGCCCCTGCACCCAAGTAGGAGACCCGGAAGAAGCTGCTGGCTCCTGCCTTCTGATCAGCTCAGCTCCAGCCATAGTCACCCTCTGGGGAGTGAACCAGACTCTTGGCTTTAGCAAGGACCAACAACAGCTGTTGCTACCATTTCAGAGGTGGCCTAGCAGATGGAATATCTTGTTATCTCTTTCTCCCTCTCTCCCTCTATCTTTCAAATAAAATAAATAAAAACCTTTGGGAAAAAACTCAGTAACAATAAAATACCAATCAAGTTAATAAATGGGCAAAGAACCTGAACAGACAGTTCTCGAATGTATGAAAAAATGATAAATTTCACTAGCCATCATGGAGACCCAAATCCAAACCACAATGAATAAATATCAGCTCTGAGGTTGGTGCTGTGACATAGCAGATAAAGCCGCCGCCTGCAGTGCTGGCATCCTATGTGGGCGCCGTTTCAAGTACCGGCTGTTCCACTTCTGATCCAGCTCTCTGCTATGGACTGGGAAACAATAGAAGATGGCCCAAGTCCTTGGGACCCTGCACCCATGTGGGAGACCCAGAAGAAGCTCCTGTCTCCTGGCTTCAGATTGGAACAGCTCTGGTCATTGCAGCCAATCAGGCAGTGAGCCAGTGGATGGAAGACCTCTCTCTCTCTTTCTTTCTCTCTCTCTCTCTCTCTCTCTCTCTCTCTCTCTTCTATGCCTCTCCTTCTCTCTGTGTGTAACTCTGACTTTCAAGTAAATAAATAAATCTTTAAAAAAAGAAAGAAATATGGGCCGGCGCCGCGGCTCACTAGGCTAATCCTCCGCCTAGCGGCGCCGGCACACCGGGTTCTAGTCCCGGTCGGGGCGCCGGATTCTGTCCCGGTTGCCCCTCTTCCAGGCCAGCCCTCTGCTGTGGCCAGGGAGTGCAGTGGAGGATGGCCCAGGTGCTTGGGCCCTGCACCCCATGGGAGACCAGGAAAAGCACCTGGCTCCTGGCTCCTGCCATCGGATCAGCGCGGTGCGCTGGCCGCAGCGCGCCGGCCGCGGCGGCCATTGGAGGGTGAACCAACGGCAAAGGAAGACCTTTCTCTCTGTCTCTCTCTCTCACTGTCCACTCTGCCTCTCAAAAAAAAAAAAAAAAAAAAAAGAAATATCAGCTCATCTCCTTCACAATAGCAATTATCAAAATGACAAAAATTAACAAATTCTGGTGAGGAAATGGAGAAAAGGGGACTCTCTTAGACTGTTATTGGGAATGTAAATTAGTGCAGCCACTGTGGAAAAAAGCATGCAGATGGCTTTAAAAACTAAAAATAGAACTGTCATATGATCCAGAAATCCCACTACAACATAGATATATAGCCAAAAGACATGAAATCACTATACCAAAGAGATACTTGCACCATCATGATTACTGCAGCACCATTCATCACAGCCGAGGTATGAAACCAACCAAGGTGTTCATCAGAAGGAGAATGGATAAAAAAAAAATCTGGTATATATAGACAGTAGCATACATTCATCCATTAAAAATAATAAAATCCTACCATTTATATCAAAATGTATGCAGCTGGATGACATCATTTTAAGTAAAGTACATCAGAGACAGAAAGACAAACACCACATGTTTCCTCTTATAAATCAAAGCAAAAAATTCAATCAGAACACAGAATGTTGATTATTAGAGGCTTGGAGAAGTAGAAGGGGTAGAGGTAATCTGAATAAAAATACACAGGAACATCGGTTTGGTTCACTAAGTATGACAAATATAATAATATGTGATATTAACAAAGTATAAATGTAAAAATGTCATGAATCTCAATATTCTGATCTGTATCTCAGTATTTTTCTACTTCTAAACTAGCCTTCCTTTGTCTTTTCCATACTTATCTTCTTTCATTGGGTTCATCATCAATTCCTTTCTTATCCTTGTTCACTGGTAACATTTCTCTTTACTAATTAAAACACTCATCTACAAGATGATAAAGTAGGAAGAATACTGAGCCTATACTCTATGACCTTGCATTCAAATTTCGTACTGCCGTTTATTCTATCCAGATAAATGACTTTAATGTCTTGGATTTTCAGGTGCTCCATCTGAGAAACCATTGGTTAGGCTATTAGACACAGGTTGAAATCCTAAAAAGGAATTTTGATTATTTTCTAAAATTCCTTAAAATTCTGAAATTCTGTGTGCTTTTGATTCTCTCTATAGAAAAATGGGGAATACCTAGTTGGCTAAATGGAAAAAATAAGAGAACAAGTATCACTATGCTCCTAAATATATATATATGTGTATATATACACATATGTGTATATGTATATTTCTCTGTATATGTATATGTATATATATAAAATACATGTAACTTGTTCACCTTATATAAATTATAAAAAATTGTTTAAAAAATTAAAATTCAAAACAAAGAAAAATGAAAGGAGAAAAGATTAAAAATGAGAAAAGATTAATATCATAGAAGGAGAAAAGTAACTCTAGTAAAAGGAAAAACTTAGAACTGGCCTAAAGGGAAAACCACATTGGAAAGTCAGTAAGTAGAGACACCAATTGGAATATTCTCTAAATAGATGTTAACTACAATTAGTAAAACATAGTCTATGTGGAGATGTTCTTCACTAGCAGTAAAGATTAGGACTTGTCTAATCTGCTTATGTCCTTGTAATGACCTATGGTCCTGTGGCCTCAGCTAAATGAGATGTGCCCTAAAATTTTGATGGTGAAAACAAGATACTTGTAACCACTGTAACTGTCAAATATATAAGAACAAATTCTGGGACTAACCAGGCTTCTCGGGAAAACTTCAAAGCAGATTTAAAATACAGCTAAATTTAACTTTCTGAGTTTATCTTAATTGGACCTGTATCTTGATCCCAGTGTTGCACAAGTCCCAATCAATCTATTCTAATGGCAAAAGAATAGATTTGGGAGCAAATCAGGCTGTTGGTCAAAACATGGGTCAGCTACTTGTTTACTACAGGGTCATAGGCCAATTAGACAACCTCTCTAAAGGACAGTTGCCAAAATGATACAAGGTAGCCTGTATTAACACATAACTTGCAAAGCTGTTTTGATGACTCTAAGAAATAAAAGACGTTAACCACACAATATCTATCTAGCCCCAAGTAGAACACTCAACAAATATTAGTTAATTTTCTTTGCATTCTGTTAGTTAATATAAATTTTTTAAAATCTGCAACATCCCGGGGCCGGTGCTGTGGCACAGCGAGTTAGAGCCCTGGCCTGAAGCACAGGCATCCCAAGTGGGCACCAGTTCTAGTCCCAGCTGTTCCTCTTCCAATCCAGCTCTCTGCTATGGCCCGGGAAAACAGTAGAAGATGGCCCAAGTGCTTGGGCCCCTGCACCCAAGTGGGAGACCCAGAAGAAGCTCCTGGCTCCTGGCTTCGGATCAGAGCAGCTCCGGCTGTTGAGCCATCTGGGGAGTGAACCAGCAGATGGAAGATCTCTCTCTCTCTCTACCTCTCTATGTAACTCTGTCTTTCAAATAAGTAAAATAAATCTTAAAAAAAGACAGCATAGCCCAGAATTATTATAAATAATACAATTTTTAAAAATCTGCAACATCCTACCTGCTTGTATAGTCTTTTGAACTCTCACCTCCTATTAAAGAAAAGTGAAAGGCATTTTAAATTAACAATAGAATAATATATAATATTAAAAGCATAACACATTGCTGCTTGTTACAGAATATACCTTTGGGTATCAGGTGTTTGGTGCAGCACTAAAGATGCCTTTGGATGCCACAGTCCATAATGGAGTGCCTGGATTTGAGTTCCAGCTATGCTTCCAAGCCCAGCTTCTTGCTAAAGCACATCCTGGGAGGCAGCAGGTGATGGCTCATATAATTTGGTTCCCTAGTGCTGTTGTAAAGATGTGAGCCCAGATTGAATTCTAGGCACTTGGCTTTGTTCTGGCCCAGCCCCAAATGTTACAGGCATTTGGGGACTCAACCAGAGAACCAGAGAACCAGGTATAGTGGTTAAGGTTCTGAGTAAGATATGCATGCCCCACTTCAGAATACCCAAGATTTATTCCCAACTCTGTCTCTTTACTCCACCTTCCTACTCATGCAGGTTCTGAGAGGCAGCAGTAATGACTGAAATAATCGTGTTCACCCTGAACATGTAGAAGACTTAGACTGAGTTCCTGAATCCTGGGTATGGTTTCTATCCAACTTTGATGAGGGCAGGCATTTGGAGGGTAAACTAATATATAGGAGCTCTATCTGTCTATGTCTCTTATGTAAAAATATACATATATACATATATGTTTTTAAATCTTTTTATACAACTACTTTTTTACACAACTACATTTAAAGAGATAAGGGCCATAATTAAATGTTTTTTTCAAATAATATTGATTCAGATTGTGAATTTACTATAATAAACTTCTTCAATAATTCTGAATTCTATCATATTGACAAAGATTAATAAAAATATACAAGAATTCTGCGGAGCCAAGATGGCAGAACAGTGAGGGCGTGCACCGATAGTCCGGGAAAAGATAGTTTAATAAAAGTGGAGTTACACTAGCCTCAGGAAAAGGATCAGGAAAAAAATGCAGAGGAAACTCTTCCGGATCTAGTGGATGTGACACAGAGGACCTATGGGGAGAGCAAGGTCGCCCACCACGTGGAAGCCGAGCCACGGGAGCCGCGGGAGCCATGGGAGCTGAGCTGCAGAGTCTGCACACCAGTGCTGGAAGGGAAGGTGAGACAAAAACCTCTCGGTAACCCGAGACATTGGCGGGGAAACGCAGAAAGAGCCTGCAGAGAATGAGGCCTGAAACCCCACTGGGGAAAGTTCACCAGGCTGACTGGAGGAGAGAAAAAATCGAATAAATAAGGGGAACCGGCACGGACATTAGCCTCTCTCTCCACTCACCTTACAAAGCCGAGCAAGATAAAGGTCAGGTGCCATTTTACGTATGTAAAGCGGGTGCCCCTCATTAGCCAAGCAGAAAAACCTGACTCTGGTGGGGAGAAATAACAGGAGGTTAACACTTAATGAAAGTGTGGAGCTCACCAACTGAGACTGTGAAAAATTGAGGGGGGGGCGAGAGAACTCACTGAGTACACAACTCGGTAACCCGGGCAACCTGGTGAGAGACTGCGGAGAAAATTGAGACCACACTGAGGGCTGCATAAACTCTTTGTGTGGTCACAACGGTAAGCAGATGAATACCCACAGGGGCCAGATTTCATACATCAACTGCCCTCAATTCCACTCAGTTGTGTGGAATTACTTCCCAACTGAGTCAATAAAAGAGAGAGAGAGAGAGAGAGAGAGAGAGAGAGAGAACAAACTGGATGAATCACCTTTGGCACACCTTTAACCCTGAAGAACCAAACAGAACTCTCTGGCCACACCCATCTCAAGCCTCTAATGATCCAAAAAAGCAGACAGTCCACTTAATCTAGAGTCACAGCATAACGAGAAAAAACACCACACTGAAGAAACCAAAGAATATCTCCAATATGCCAAACAACAAACACAAAAACCGAGGTAACAGGAACAAGAAAGACACTATGACGCCCCCAAATGAAATAGACACCCCAATTCAAGATTATGAAGATGATGAGATAGAAGAAATGCAAGAAGCGGATCTCAAAAAACTGATAAGAATATTAAGAAGTTCTCAAAAAAAATTCTTGAACTAAAGAAATCCTTAACGGACAAGATAGAACATCTCTCTCGTGAAAATGAAATATTAAGGAGGAATCAAAATGAAATGAAACAACTAGTACAACAGGAAACTGTGATAGTGACGAAAAATCATAATGAAATGAAGAATTCAATAGATCAAATGACAAACACATTAGAGAGCCTTAAAAACAGAATGGGTGAAGCAGAAGAGAGAATATCGGACTTCGAAGACAGAGAACAGGGAAGGATACAGTCAAACCAAAGATAAGAAGAGGAAATTAGAAATCTAAAAAATAGTCTGGAATCTACAGGATACTATTTAAAAAACCCAGCATTCGGGTTCTAGGAGTTCCTGAAGGCATGGACAGGGAGAAAGGATTAGAAGGCGATGCCATAGACAGGAGTGTCAATTGGTAAAGTCAACAACAGGAGTCACTGTGCACTTACTCCTCATGTAGGATCTCTATCCTTAATGTGCTCTACATTGAGATTTAATGCTATAACGAGTACTCAAACAATATATTTCACTTTGTGTTTCTATGGGGGTGCAAACTGTTGAAATCCTTACTTAATGCATACTAAACTGATCCTCTGTAAAAAAAAAAAAAAAGAAAAAGAAATTATCAATTCCCAACTTGACTCTCACCTGTGATTAAACATGACAATAGGTCTGCTCTGATTTCATCATCATTTAAAAAAAATCATCTATTATTTTTCACTTTATGTTTCTGTGTGGGAGCAAACTGTTGAAATCCATACTTGATGTATACTAAGCTGATCTTCTGTATATTAAGATAATCAAAAATGAATCTTGATGTGAATGGAAGGGGAGAGGGAGTGGGAAAGGGGAAGATTGCGGGTGGGAGGGACGGTATGGGGGGGAAGCCATTGTAATCCATAAGTCGTACTTTGGAAATTTATATGCATTAAATAAAAGTTTAAAAAAAAACAAAAGGCGTTCCTAGTGAGATATTAGCAGAAAATTTCCCAGGTTTGGAGAAGGACAGAGACATCCTAGTACAGGAACCTCATAGAACCCCTAGTAAACATGACCAAAAGAGATCCTCACCATGACACATTGTAACTAAACTCACCACAGTGAAACATAAAGAAAAGATCCTAAAATGTGCAAGAGAGAAACGTCAGATTACTCTCAGAGGATCTCCAATCAGACTCATAGCTGACTTCTAATCAGAAACTCTACAAGCTAGGAGGGAATGGCGAGATATAGCCCAAGTACTAAGAGAGAAAAACTTCCAGCCCAGAATATTATACCTTAAAAGCTATCATTTGTTAAAGAAGGAGAAATAAAGACTATTCATAGCAAACAGAAATTGAAAGAATTTGTCGCCACTCGTCCAGCCCAGCAAAAGATGCTTAAAGATGTATTGCACACAGAAACACAGAAACACGGTCATCAATATGAAAGAAGATAAAGGAAGGAAACCTCACAGCAAAAGATCACAGGGAATTCAAAGCATATATTAGAAAATATCTTTGGCAAATGGCAGGGCAAAGTTACCACTTATTAATAGTCACCTTGAATGTTAATGGCCTGAACTGTCCAGTTAAAAGACACAGATTGGCTGATTGGGTTAAGGAACAAAACCCATCTATTTGCTGCTTACAAGAAACACATCTTTCCAACAAAGATCCATACAGACTGAAAGTGAAAGGCTGGAAAAAGATATACCATGCCAACAGAAATGCAAAAAGAGCGGGCGTAGCCATCTTAATATCGGACAACATAAACTTTACCACAAAAACTGTTAAGAGAGACAAACAGGCACACTACATAATGATTAAGGGATCAATTCAACAGGACGATATAACAATTATCAATGTATATGCACCTAACTACAGGGCACCGGTTTATTTAAAAGATTTGTTAAGGGACTTAAAGGGCAACTAAGACCCCAATACAATAGTACTGGGGACTTCAATACTCTACTCTCAGAAACAGGCAGATCAACAGGACAGAAGATCAACAAGGATACAGTAGATTTAAACGACACTATAGCCCAAATGGATCTAACAGATATCTACAGAACTTTCAATCCTACATCTAAAGACTTCACATTCTTCTCAGCTGTACATGGAACCTTCTCTAGGATTGACCACATAATAGGCCATAAAGCAAGTCTCAGCAAATTCAAAAGAATTAGAATCATACCATGCAGCTTCTCAGACCATAAAGGAATAAAGCTGGAAATTAGAAACTCAGGAATCCCTAGAGCATATGAAAACACATGGAGATTGAACAACATGCTCCTGAATGAACAATGGGTCATAGAAGAAATCAAAAGAGAAATCAAAAACTTTCTGGAAGTAAATGAGGATAACAGCACAACATACCAAAACTTATGGGACACAGCAAAAGCAGTGTTAAGAGGAAAGTTTATATCAATAGGTGCCTACATCAAGAAATTGGAAAGGCACCAAATAAATGAGCTTTCAATGCATCTCAAGGATCTAGAAAATCTGCAGCAAGCCAGACCCAAATCTAGTCGGAGAAGAGAAATAATTAAAATCAGAGAAGAAATTAACAGGATTGAATCAAGAAAAACATTACAAAAAATCAGCCAAATGAGGAGCTGGTTTTTTGAAAAAAATAAACAAAATTGACACCCCATTGGCCCAACTAACTAAAACAAGAAAAGACCAAAATCAATAAAATCAGAGATGAAAAAGGAAACGTAACAACAGACACCACAGAAATAAAAAGAATCATCAGAAATTAATACAAGGACCTGTACGCCAGCAAACAGGGAAACCTATCAGAAATGGATAGATTCCTGGACACATGCAACCTACCTAAACCAGGAAGACATCGAAAACCTAAACAGACCCATAACTGAGACAGAAATTGAAACAGGAATAAAGGCCCTCCCAACGAAGAAAAGCCCAGGACCAGATGGATTCACTGCTGAATTCTACCAGACATTTAAAGAAGAA